TAAATACACTGTATGTAAACTATAGAGAAGCTGGCAATGTAGAGGATTCCTCCAAATAATCAATGGAAGTATCAGATAATCACATTCTTTAAAAAAAATTTTCTGAAGGTCACCAATCACTGGAACTGGCTGTAAATTCCAGTAGTCCATCTTATAAATTCAACATATTGTTCTTTACACATACATAAATGGGTATAATACCAAAGGCAATTTGGTCCAGAAATACAAACGAAATCAGAAAGTCTTCATGCATAGTTCAGACTACAGAAACACATTTGCTTATACCATCTGCCTTTATTTATCCTATTTTCTAATCTTTAATATTAGAATAAAAAAATGACAAAATAGTAGCTATTTTAATTGAGTATTTACTATGGGTTAAGTACTTTGTTACATGCTTGAAGTATAACATCCCTATTGAATCTGATATCCTGTGAAATTGGTATTACTACAACCATTTTACAGATGAAAACTAAGGATCACTGAGTCAAGCCACTCTGCTCATAACTGGGCTAGTTGGGATTAATGCATGCTTGTTTGTCCCAGAGTCCAATACAATTATTGTATCAGCCATCTTTGATCCTTATGGGCTTCATTAATTTCCACTCATGCTTCAACCTTCCCTCACATTTCAAATACTTTGTAACACGTTTTTGCATTTCATTTTGCTGTTCCTTTTCCTCGGTCTTAATCATTGCTATCCACTTAATTTCCTCACAATTTTTCTACCCATCAGCTTGCTTTAATGCTGAGAAAATGAAACCAGATAAGAGCTACCTTAACCTGAAATAAAAGGAAATAATCTGCTGGCTTATGTTTCTTTGTTAAATATTCATATATTTGAACACTTGAAAAAGTTAAATGTTTATTCCATCCCTTTTCCATTGATGTGACAAATATCAGATCTCATAGACCAACAGAATTTGGAGGGCAAGTTAGTACAATATGAATTACTTAGTATAAATCCAATAGCTTTGGTATACAAAGTAGACATACTTTCAAATAACTAAAACATTACAAGTTTCAGTATTGTATTGAACTCTTGAATGAGCTTACAGTGAAAATCCCAAGGCAAGCAAACTTACTCTCTAAAACGGAAAGTGTAAATTATTAAATTAATTTTCATTGGCTATAAGCGAGCTTAAAGAAGCAAAAGGAACTAATATTTCTTTCACAATTCCTACGTGTCCTGAATTTTGCATATTGTTTTCTCATTTAAATTTAAACCTTAATGTGTTTATAAAAATGCTACTAATAATATTTAATATATTAAACTTTAACCCCAAAAAATGTTCTCAATCACTAGGGAATACCTTTAGCAACAACAGATGATTCTTAAATATGTCTAAGATAATGTGGGACAGCGTAATAACTTTATAAAGTGAATTTTAACCATGGGCTAAGAAAAACTATCAATATAAGAATATTTACAATATAATTATGCAACAAAAATATTTCTGATAGTATGTCTTCCACATGAATAAAGGTTTGCACATGATCTTACATAATCATTTGTTTGAAAAAATTACTGAATGTTTATTGTGTTACATGTTACACAAGATGTCTTATCTTTCACTCCATTCTACTCATTTTGTTGATAACAATGACACAATAATGAAATAAAAATGAGAGGTCAGTTAATCAAGTCAAGATCACCAACTAGTATTTCAATAAATACAAGTTTACCTATTTGATCATCTTTCTCATTGATTTTTATAATTGTATATATTTATTATATATGTGTATACACACATACAGATATACATTCTGGATACAAATTCACTTTTAGATATATGTACTGCAATTATTTTCTTCAACACTGACTTATTTTTTCATTTTCACATTAAAGTTTTTTAGACATAATATGGCTTTAATTTTAAAGAAGTCCAAATGATTATTTTTAAGAATTTATGGTGAGTGTTTTTTGTATCTTAAGAAATCATTTCCCTCCCTATGGTCATGAAAGTTTTCTGTTTTTAAACTAAGGATGTTATAGTTGTGGCTTTCATGTAGAATTCTATGATCCATTATGAATTAACATCACACAAACAGTTAAGCAGGGATAAGATTCATTTTTTTCACATCGGGTATCCAGATGTCTAGAACCTTTTGATGAACAGACAGACTATCTTCTCATCACTGAATTATATTGGTAGTTGTATTGCAATTCAATTGGCCATAAATGTATGGGTATGCTTCCAGACTCTTTATCTCTTTCATTGATCTGTATGGCTAACTTTCTGCTAAAACCACATTGTTTTGATTACTGAGTTTTTGTAAGTTTAGAAATCAGGTAGTGTAAGTCCACTCAATTTGTTCTTCTTTAACAAAATTGTTTTGACTTTTTTAAGTCCCTTCCTTTTCCAAATAAGTATTGGACTCAGCTGTCAATTTCTATTAAAAAGCCTATGGAGATTTTCATTGAGATTATATTGAGTCTATAAGCCAATGTGGGGAAAACGGACATATTGGTAACAGTTTGCCTTCCAATGAATGAACCTTAATTTCTTTAATTTATCTCAGAAGTGCTTTGCAAATATTTAGAGGGAGGTTTTGCATGCATTTTGTTATTTATTCATAAGTATTTTTATGGTTTGGGAAGTTATTATAAAATTTTTCCAATAGTTTATTTTCATTATATATAAATAAAAGTATTTTTATAAATGGACTTTATATTGAAAAGTCCAGTTATAAATTCTAGCAATTTTTCTTTGAGATTCCTTAAAATTTTCTTTGTACCAATTCATCTCATCTGTGAAGAGAGACACCTTTTACTTTTTCTTCCCAATTTTCATACCTTTCCTTTTCTTTTTCCTGTAGTCCTATACTGGCTACAATCTTCAGTACAATATGGAATAGAAGTGGTAAGATGGGACAGCCCTGCCTTGCTTCCAGTCTTAAACAGAAAACATTTGGCTTTGCGATTAAGTGCGATGTTAGCTGTAGATTTTTGTGTGTGTGAATCTGTGTGTAGATACCCTTTCATATATTAAGAAAGTATTCTTAAGAACTCATTAAGACTTTGTTGACAGGGTTCACCGGCAGCCCCATACACGAGAGATATCATTTCACTGTCTCCTGGACTCATTTTTTTCTGATGGGAAGTCAGTTATTGTTCTTTTAGTATGGAATTTATCTTTCTCTGGCCAATTAAATCTTTTTTTTCTGTATCTTTGGTATTTGCCAATTTTCCTATGATATGCCTACCTCTACGAGTTGTAGTTTTTCATCAAATTTGGGAAAATGTTTTACCATTTCATCTTCACCTAATACTTCTTACCCATTCTCATTCTCTTCTGAGATTCCAGTTAAACCTATGTTATTGGTAAATCTAACATCCAAGCTATCTCAGGGTCAGCTTCTATTGACTATTTTTCTTTGACCATGGGTCACATTTTCATCTTTCTTTGCTTAGATAATTTTTATGTTCCCAACATTATGAATAATATATTACAGAGATTCAGGATGCCATTATCTTCCTCTGACGAGAGCTGACTTTTGTTTTAGGAGGCACTCAGTTCCTGGCTGATCACTCTGAACTGAGGCAGGTTTGAGTTTCTTCTTTGCTAGAGAGGATCTATCAAAAGCCCTATGCTACACCATCATAAATTGGTGGGACTTGATCTCTGAACTCTATCTCCCCTAAAGACCTTCTTGGGGCTTGGTTTCAGGTTTTGTTAGGGCAGGTCAAGAGTAATCATTTCTCTGGATCCTAGTCCTTACTATGAAGATACAGCCTTTCTGTTTCTCAGGAGCAATTTAGAAAGTATTAATAAGGTTGCTTTACCCTTCTGACCCGAATCTGCTCAATTCCTGGTATCCATAGCTGCAGCACTCTGATACACCATGAGCAGTTTCTATCTGTATATATTCAGACCAGCTTTGCAATATTCTCACAGCTGATGTGCACACAGACTTCTTGGCACCTCTTCCCAAGGAAGTCTCTTGTCCCTGGTGCCCTCAGTGGGACCACTGTGCTCTATCTAGATGCTAGCTTGCTTTACCAGTCAAAAAATTGTTCCCGGGCAAAAAGCTGGGTTGACTGTGGGGCTCATTAGTAAACTTTCCTTCTTTCAGAGACTGCAGTGTCACACTGTGCATTCTCCAGTAAGGGAAAGCAGTTGCTTCATAAATCTTTTCAGGTTTTACGGTTGTTTATTGCTGAAGTCCAGTATCCGGTACTCCTACAATAAACAGCCATAAAACTGGAAGTGGACATCCAATCACATTCTTGCATAGAGACTTTTTTCACCCTTATGAATTATTTACAACTAGAATAGTTTTTATATTCTATTTACATTTATTTTTATATTCATCAAGAAGCTATCATGAATTTAATAGATTTATTACAGAAAATCATCTTTAAATGTTATTGTTTATTCAATGATGTGAAATGTCAACACTGTTGATACTAAAATTAAATTGCCAGTGAACAATGAATTACCATTCATTTTTAATAGCTCTATCTAAATTTGTGGATAATTACTAAAGAGTGCTCTTATAGAGTACATTGTTGCTCATTATTTTATCTTTTAATTTTTACATTTAATGCTGCATTGCAAATGTTGGTGAGCAGTAAGGACTTTAACCATGCAGCTTGAAATTAATTCGCTAGAGGCTTAGTTGATGCTTGGAAGGAACCAGAAAGTATGTCGATATCTGAATACTGGGTACTTTCTATGGTGATGACTGAAAAACACACAGTACAGGTTCATAATTTTGAAGTTCCTCCAAAATTCACCACAGTTTTCATTTGTCATCATTAATGACGGCAACATTTTTTAAAAAAAATGACTAGCCAAATGTTTTGTCAATGTGCAGTCCAGTATGTGGCTGTTGAGAAATCAGTTATCATGAACTAAGGGAGATACTTATACCATTATGACAAAAGCTTTTGGAACACAAAATCTGGAATAAAAGCTTTCTATGAAGGGCTTAATAGGATTAGCAGCACAGCCATCAAATAAGGAATGCCATTTAATTGGCTTTGGAAAGTTTACCTTGTTATAAGTATAGCGGCATCCCCTGAAGTCATTTCCTCTCCCCAGCTTGTTGACATTTCTAAATGTATATCATTCTTTTTGCCAAATTCTTCATGTTGCCATTTACAAAAACTCTCTAGCATTTTCTCTCCATGGTGCCCGATATACAGACCTGCCTGCAAAAGAAGAGATTTCACTTCAAGGCATATTATTCTCAGATATACAAAAAGCTAAAAACTGAGGGGACTTCTTGAATTACTAAAGCAGACTGCTGGCAATCACATTAATCAGAACCTGGCAGACATTCAGGACTTGTTTACCTGATGTAAAAAAAAATCTTCAAACTTGTGAAGGTACCATAACTACAAAATCTGCTTAATGCTATTCTGAAAAAGGAGGGCAGTGCAGTGGGATACTAAGAATGTGGAACTTTTGGCCTTAAATAACTTAATCGTGTCTACAATTTAAGAACGAAGATTTTTCCAAAGGGCCAGTTAAGCAGCATGCTAAAATGATGCCACAGAATAATCTCTGTTTAAAATGAATTACAGATAAGGAAAAGTTTTAAAAGCACATGTTTAAACAAGAAAATACAACTGTCATTAAAAATCACTTTTTAAAATTACATATTGGAAAGCTAAGGTTTGTTGTCAGGATCCTTGGAAACTAAGAACATTCCACTTTTAGAATAAAAGGGAGGTATTAGCCAAAAGTGAAGGCCAGTTCTATGTACACTTTAAGTGACTCTGGATATTTCTGGATTTTAAGTCAATAAGAAGTACATCCCTAACATTCCCTTTACTTAAAAGTACCTGAACACAACTTTTCACCCACTTAATTAAACAAAAAACTTAAGACTTTCTTACTGGAGTTTCATGGAGCAGAATAAGCTTTATCACACGAAGATTGACCTGCACACCAAGACTCTTGTGTTGGAAAAGGTTAAAAACCTAAAAACAAATAAAAATAAAAATCCTAAAATAAAACTGAAGACACCTTAATTTTCCTTAAAGCTCAGACATGGGAAACAATTTCATGGTCATTGCAAAATCTTATATATTTTTAAACAAACCTTTAAATTATTATAAGATGAGCTTAAAAAGCAATAATAACTTAGCTAATTCATCTTAAATACCGAGAAATCTAGACGTAGCCTTCTGGGATATGAGTGCAGCCTTGACACTCCAGGCATCTCACAGGACACAGAGGGAAGGCTTTTCATGATATTGAAGAGAAGAATTTTAGTAACTAAACCCTCCAATTTTTCTTAAGACCACAAAATGCCACCTCTCCGTTCTTCTGAGAAACAGTCCTGAAAACCCAGCCTGCCCATACCACCTCCCAATTCATTCTTTGGGGTTTTGTTTTCCTCACCGTAGGCTGGCTGCCCAATGGGAACAGGGTTTCAAAGCTCCTCCCTTCAGGGCTGCCCACGAAGACAAGCTTTCAGGCTGCCATTGCTCAATGATCATAATAATAACTGGTTTTTCCAATGTGGTGTGTATTGATACCAGAAAGCAGGGCAAATTTTTTATGTGGTACTTCAAATTATTTTTAATTTGGAATTTAATTTTTACTAGAAAAATATAAAACTGGCACACCAAACCCCTGTTTTCTGAGAGTATTACTTAAAAGACACTAATCTATGTTAGTCTACCCTATCCAGAATGCTGGTGGAACATTTCAGGAGGTGGCTTACTTAACATACCCAGCAGTGACCCAAGTATCATTCACTGGAATAACAAGCTTAATGATAGGAAATATAGTAAAAATGGGAATTTTATAAAGCAATATAATTTATCCTTGAATCAGTGATTCCCTGCCTTGAATGATGGACATTTGCCTTTGGCTTTTATTTAGGTTTATTCTTTCTTACGCATTCTTCACTATAACCTTCTAATTCTGCCTTGAGGGAGGGTATACAACAGGATATGCAATTAAGTCAAAGCATCTATTTGGTGGTAAGCATCTATAAATATTTATAAGCTGCTAGATTTCTGCAGTCCAGGAATTGTCAGCCAAAGGCAGCTACATGTGATTCATCTGGTTAAAATTTTAGCTATGGCTATTACATCTTACTCATTAACTAGTATTTTATCAGACATCCCATTTTACATACCTATGTAAGAGCTGAGGGATAACCAACCTACAGCTGTGCTCCACCTCATACTCAATAGTACTTTGGGTGGGGCCATGCATATAAACAGATATTATTACATCTTCTGCTAATTTCAACAAACGGTCTTTCAGAAAAGAGAATGAAAAGGGCACGAGGAAAAGAGACAACAGAATGATATGAGTTCTGCACACAATTAACAAGGGTTTTTTCCTAGAAGATGTGAATTATTATTTTGCTATCTCTTCCGAGATGGGCCAAACTGCTATACCTAAAGTATTTTTTTAACTGATATCAATAAAAGAAAGGAATAGTAATGAGTTAATTTTTAAAGAACTTCATTATACTCACACATTTCTTCCTTAGAGTTTTCTTGAAAAAATTCCAAGCGCACTTTAAAGTTTGCCTACCATATTTAAGATGGTTAGAATGAATCTCCTGGCTGCATCTGCTCCATGATAGGAAACCATTGCTGGGTCTGCAACCACTACAGTCTCTATGTTGTATTCTTGAGGTAATTTGTATGAATATCGTTTCCCTCTTCCACTTTCTGTTATTTTTTTTGATCTAGGTCTTCCTTTATCTGCAACAGAGAAATGGATTTTTAAATGCACCTACACCTTGGCAACATGAATAAAAAAATTTCTGTTTCTTTAATGAGTAAAAAAAAATATATAAGTTTATTAAATATCAACGTGTGCTGATGATGCATTGGTGAGCAAAGTTAAATAAGCATAGGTTCCCTGCACATACGGGACCTAAAAGGGCATTTGGCTCTGAAGCAGGACTTTGGACTCAGACAGACTAGACTTTACCATTTATTAGCTCTGCCACTTGCGTCATTAACATCATCCAGGCAGCCTCAGTTTTCTCATCTGTAAAATCAGTAACATTAACACCTACTTGCCAGAGTTGTTTTTGTCTTATAATAAGATCACATTACTAAACTTTCTAGCACAGCAATTCATATAAATAAAACTCAATAAATAAAAATAAAAGATACCATGATTTGCTTTTTTGAAACCGACAAAATAGAGATCTACTTGCAAGAAGTGCCTGAAGTGACTGCCCGTAGATCCTCACTTCAGGCAGGTGCACGCAATTAATAAAATACTACTCATGGGTCACAAAGAATTTGGTTCTGCCTCCATCAGGATCATACAGAAGTTATGACCTTAGGGTAACAGAGATTCCTCAAAAAGGGCCAAATAAAAGCAGCAAATGCAAATAAATAAACATGCTTATAAAATTTAACTACATAAAAATGTAAAATTTCTGTTTATGAGAACATGCCTCTATCAGAATGAAAAACATGCTACCAAGTGGGAGAAAATGTTTGCAGTATTTTTCCACAATAAAGAACTAAAAAGCTACTCTAAATCAATGACAGACAACCCAATTGAAAAATTGGCAAAGGACTTAATTGGCCATTTCTCACAAAAAGGATATCCAAATAACTAATTAACTAAGAGAAAATGCTCAAATTCATTAGTCTTCAGGGAAATGCAAATTGAAACATTAAATTAATTAAAACCCCTAGAATGTTTAAAAAACAAAGAGTTCTATCAAGTGTCAACAAGAATGTGGGGACTAGAAGTCCCGTACACATACATGCTGGAAGTTCAAGTTAGGATAAACACTGGAAAACTCGTTGGCAGTATCCACTAAAGTTGAACATTCACACACTCAGTGATCAGTGATCCAAAACATACACTCATGTGTCACGGACTCTGTGCGATGAGAATCCCACAGTGGTAGGAACAGAGAGGATGAGATATAGGCAAAATATTAGGAAGTAGACATCATCATGAGTGAAATTAATAGACTTAGAAGAAGAAAAGGGAGGATTTCTTGTTGCTGTTGTTTGTTTTGGTCCGTGCATGGTGGTAGTGACAAGGTGGATGGTGGGGGAGAGGAGTCTGTGGGGAGAGATGACGGGCTCACCTCCGGATTCATGAAGTCTGAGGTGCCTGACAGACATCTTGAGCAGGAGTGACTGCACACATGGCAGTCAGGAGAGACGTGAAAATGGAGACAGAGAGACTGGAACTAGTCAATGGGTAAGTGAAATTGGACCCTTGGATTTAGATTTTATCACCCTGGGAAAGCACATGGAGAAGGAAGTAGGAGAAAAGGAGGAAGTCCTGGGAAATGCCCACATTTAGGAGTTGTGCATAAGGAGGAAGACATGCCCATGGAGGAGACAGAGATATAAGAAATATAAAAGGGGAACTCAAACAAAACCAAGGGGATAGTTATAAGACGAGGGGCTTTTGAACCAGACCCAGAATGGTAAACAGACCATGAAGTTTGTTTGCTTTATTGGCCCAGCTAATAACAGCTGTGTTGGTCCCATGTTGTCAGCGTGCTGGATCCTTATTTGCATGTTAAATTTAAATAGACTACTTGGAACACTCTAGTTTCTTTAGAATCTCAACTTCATGGTAGATTCCATCATATAAGTTAGCCATCATTTATGAAAATCATGCATATTGGAGTAATCTTTTCATTAAACTGCTTCCCTTGATGTCTTCATTGTCTACAAGGGTTATGCAAAGCTCATTTGTCATCTTTTAAATCTTGAGACCATTTCCTACCTACATGCCTGTATAAAAACAATACAGTTGATACTGTACACTTCCAGTTAGAGAAAACATTTTAAACTGTGTCATCACCAACGCTCAGTGTTTGTTCCCCGTAACATCCTTCACATACTGACAACGATCTCCACAGCAGTTATGGATGGTGCATGGGAAACATGGAAACTATTTCAATAGTGGTCTGGTTAAGTTAGCACTAAGAATAGAAATGATCTTTGTGTCCTGCTTAAAGAGATCCGTCTTCTTCAATTCTATATAAATCTCTTTGTTATTCACACTGAGTCCCAGACATAGTTATAAATTTATACTAAAATGTTAAGGGATATATATGATGCCACTTGCCTACTTAAAATCTTCAAAGACAACCTTTTGCCTTCCACAGAAAGTCCTTACTACGGCACTAAAGTCCCTCCTTTATTAACTCCCTGACTGCCTTTCCAGGGCTGTACCTCAGGTCTGTGCTGCAGACATTTGGCTTAAGCATCCTGAGTTGGTGCTTTCCTCTCTGGCTTCAGATTTTTGCATGTATTGTTCCTTCTGCCTGAAATGCACTAAAAATTTCACATACATTTTCATTTTCATGCATACTCTCATTTAATTTTGACAACAACCCTGAGATTCAGACATCACTAGCCCCATTTTGTATATTGCAAATGGAGCTTTTCAGAGATAAAATAAGTTTTCCAAAGTCACTTGGCTAGGAAGTGGCAGCATAAATATGTGAATACAGGCAGTCTGCCCCCCAAAGTTCATTATCTTAGCCTGCACACTCTGCTCTTTTTACTCCCAGAGATGTAAATCTATAGTCTGGTAAATTTTACTAGATCTTTGAGGCTTGGCCCACCAATTTCAGAAGCTTGGAATTTTGTGTACTGAGTCTGCCACAGTTCTCATCATACTACAGTATAATTACTTACTACTTGTTTGTCTAAAATAATACACTGCTTGTCTCCTGAGAATTAGAGCTGTGTCATTTAGCTGTACATCCCTATGATATCACCAGTTGTGCTTATGTTGCAAATAAAGAGGCCTAGGTTCAAAAGTTGAAGGGAATTGAAGAGGAGTACCTGGCTGGAGTGAGACTGAAGCTAAGCCTTGAACCTGAGGGCCTCTGAATCTTAACTTCATGTGCCTTCCCCTCCTCTGTATTATCTTTTAATAAAGAACATAACAAAGCCACCCTAATGTATGAAGGTACCTGTTTAGAAAAAATATTCATGTAATCAATATATAAAAGTAATGTACCTAAGGCATCAAAATGATGAAAGGAGATGGTGCAAATACCAATTTGAATACAAGAAAACATTATGATTCCATTGTACAAAGGCAAAAACTGAAACATTATCCAAATTTGAATCATGTGTTTACTATGTTAACACATCAGCCTGGAGTAAGAAGTACAATTAGACAAATCATTGGAAATGAATATTGTATTTCATGGATTGCTCATTTTTAAATGATTCTTTAAATTCTAGACCCCTAAAAAAATCATCTGAAAATAGATAAGCTCAGTAAATCATCTGACTGATGGTAGTTTAGCACACCTTGAAAGCAAGTGCTTGATCCAAATAGGTCATTTAATATATAACAGTGGAGCCTAAAAAAAATAATTAGAAACCTTATAAATAATATTTGCCAAATATAAACAGTGGGTTTATGGTTTCTAAACCTTTTAAAATTAAGAATTTTCTAGAAACCTTTCCTCTACACATAATGGCACACAAAGCCTGCTTTGTGTCATCCATGCACATGAGTAATTAGAACAGCTGGAACTTAATAGGATTCGAAAGTTGCATAGGGCAGATTTTCAGTACAACTCATACAAGGCAATTTCCTTAAATGGACTAAACCCAAGTTGCTGTTATCATCTCACCGTACAAAAGCCTAAAAGCCTTTCTTTTGCTAGTTCATAATGCCATGACTTTTGTTTGGCTGTTTTATCTCCTTTGTGTCAAAGTTCTTAGAATAGAGAAGAGGGATTTGTCTGTCTTAAATTGACTTGATCATCTACACCAAACAGTGTGACACAGAGATAGAGTCACTTAACCACTTTGGAAGATAATTCCCATATAGACAGATAGGAGCTTTCCCAAAAGAAAATAGAAATCATGGATTAATTTGATATAAATACGTCTAAACAGAAACATATTTTAATTCTTTCTGATTCTGAACACCCTAGACAACTGATTATATGAACATTCTCCAACCTCTGCAAATGTTACTTATTGTCACAAGTCAAAAACCTAAATGGGCCTCAAACCATACCCAATTTTAGAATATCCTGGTGCTAACTAAACTAACACCTAATTTTATATCTGTAAATCAAATTGTAAAGTCTTTACATCAAAAATTCTTCAGTAAATTCATATTTCCTCAGATTTTAACTGACAACACTTTTCATCTCAGTAAACATTCATTGAGATGTCTGGATTAGATGTCTAAAATTTTTTCCTAGGGGGATTTCTAATTATTTTCTGAATGTTGGCTATAGCTTTCAGGTCCGATGTATGTAAGAGAAATTGCTCATTTTCCTTCCTATTTTGTTAATGCCACAGATCTCTGCCAAAGGAAATAAGGAAGTGCACAGAAGAGTCACACATACACACACACACACACACACACACACACACACACACACACAAATTTTATTTCTGTGAAGTACTGGCAGACAAGAGACTAGGATTTGATGGTTGGGAATGTATATGAGCCTCTGAAACATCCAGATTTAAGGTATTCTGATATTGAGAAAAAAATTCAAAGAAATAAATCTTTACTTTTCTTCCTATTCCTCTGCTAAATTTAATCTCCAAGCTGATTTTCACTTGGGTCAAATGAAAAAAAAAAAGGAAGAGGACTTCTGGTCTCATAGAGGGGGGCTCAAATAAGGCCGTGAGCTCACAGTAGTCAATTTCAAGAGATCTGGAATTCTCTGTGTCATTTCTATTCCAGTGAGGTGAACGGTACCCCATGGGAAACACATCACAGTTTGAGACAGAGGTATAGGACATGTTATATATTAATCTCTGAAATCCTTTGAGTTGCCACTTTTTAAGATTAAAATGCTGTGCTTCATAGAAAACTAAAAGATATGTCTCACATAGATATGTTTAATTATCATCAACCAAAAGAGATTCCACATTAAAAAAAAAAGATAAAGTTGGTAGATAGATGAATGGATGGATGCATGGACAGATGGGTAGGCAGAAAGAAAAGGAAAGAATTTTAAAAGACTCATCTCACACTGCATATTTAGTTAAATCCTTTCAGGAGAAGGTGTTACCTGAAATGATGCCACAGGAATGACTGTGAGGAGCTGACTTCTCTGTGATGTTTTCCTCCACAGACCTTTTCTGCCTATACACACGGTGTGGGTGACCTGTTATGGCCACTGAATCATTGAGTGGTTCAATAAATATGAAGTCCTCATTGAGCTGTATAAATCCCATCTGGAATATATAACATGAAAGGATATGTAAGAAATACCATTTGAATAAATTATCTTCTAGATTTTCCTACTTAGACACTCTTTCACATGTGTGCATACATTGTAATGAAGCTATTTTAGCAACCAAACTAATAAGGTAACTGTCTTCCCATTTTATTGCTTCATCTTTATGTACTTTATTGCACAGCAGAAACTTCATTAATCTTAGCCTGTGTGTGGGGGTGGCTAGATGCCAGCAACAGATGCACGGTAAAACTTCTGGAATGATCAAGTCTCACTTGGAGAGACCCTTGGGGTCGCTTACATGTTTAGCACATACAGAAGAGCACTACAGTTTTAATTGCATATATACCAACCACATAGTCCAACTTTTTGAGAATCCTTATTTAATAAAGTAATTCATGTAACACATTAAAGCACGTATAGGAGAGACATGGTATTGAACTTAATAAAATTTTCTTAAAGTCTTCTACTAAATATTCTGAAAACCTCTGAACAATAAATTATAGATGAAAATGACACATCACTTACATATAACCAGTTTCATTTCATATATGCCATATTTTTAAGTTAGCCCATTGTAAAAAGAGGGCTAAAACTGTAAAATATGGTTATGATCAATAAAAAGAACTTCAGACAAGTACACTGAAGCTAAGCCTCATCATTTCTTTCTTTCTTCAGAATATAAATTTGCACTGTAACTAGGAAAATATTCCACATGGTCTTTTCAAGTTTTATTATTTTACTCTTTATACATTATATTATACAAAATGTATTTGACTATTCATTCTGTTAACTCTTTAGCAAATGGTTTTGAATAATCCCTTAGAAGCTACGTTATTCATGCCCAACCTGCTACAACCTAAGTTCTTAATTCTGCTTTGCATTAATTATATGAAAATTATATATACATCTCTATGTAGTTTTAATTTGATCCACATATAACTGGTATAGTATATATAATAAATAATAATTTCTTCCTCAGATACAGTAATTCCTTCACATTAAATATTAAGAAAAAATAAATCTATGCTAAAAAAATGTTTTCCTTAGAAGTATAGAAGAAAATTATTTTTCTTTTAATTATTAAAGTATATTGCATCTTCCACACAGGGAGATCAGGTGATTGCCAATATACCCCCTCATTTTATTTGGTGAACATCAACATTAAAAGATATTCTTACAATACATCTAAAAATCCTCATCAATTTCATTTCACTGAATTTTTTATATCACTAATAAAATTCTCAAGTATCAAAATAACAGTCCCACTACTCTATCTGTTCCCTTTTCCTCTCTCTCTTTCCCAGTCTCTCCCCCTCCATCTTTTGCACACACACACACACACACACACACATGCATGAGTGGAAATGATGCAAAGAAGATTTACTTGAATGAGGCTTGCAACATATTAAGCATATTTGGGCCATTTTTTGTGCAATTTCAGTGTGCCTTCCAACAAATTGTTTTATTTTCCAGATGTTTTCATTCTCTCAAATATGCAACTAGACTGAATTTTAAGGTAATTATATAAAGTCCAAAAAACTTTCCCTGGAGCCTAACATAATAGTGCAAAGAGGACATCAAATATTTAAAATTTGTAAAACTTGAAATAATAATAATTAAAGAAGTAGTACACCTACACATGGATAGAGGCAACATGGTGCCACATTATATGTCACTGATCCAGACTGAAAATATAGAAATATGTTACCCTTGTCTTATATATTAGTGTGTTTCCGAGAGTCAAAGTCCCTAAAAAAACTGACAGTGTGGCTGATGATTAATATAATATTGTTATCATGGTCAGTTAGAGCCCAGTTTCCCAAAATCATAACTTTTCAATCTGATAATCTTTCAACAGGTGATAAGCATGCTTAGATTCATAAAAATAAACCCTATAAAATTTAATTGCATGACTTCAATGGGGTATGGGCGTGACTCAATAATATAGGTGACTGTAGTAACCACATTGTTTTTCATGAGAAACTTCATAAGAGTGTATATCAAAGATACCTTAATAAAAAAAGTTAATTGCATACCATCATATAACATATAATGAGATATATAAAGATTATGGACTTAAGATTATTTGGGTTCATAAGCTACTACTGGCTATGTAACTGTGAGGAAGTTTTGCTGCCCTTTTCTATGCAACATCTTCAGAGGGTCATTTCAAAGTATCATGTTTGTTTGTTCGTTTTTATTTTGTTATGGTTAATGTACAATTACTTGAACAACATTATGGTTACTAGACTCCCCCTATTATCAAGTTCCCCCCACATACCCCATTATAGTCACTGTCTGTCAGAGTGGTAAGATGCTGTAAAATCATTACTTGTCTTCTCTGTGTTGCACAGCCCTCCCCATGTTCCCTCACATTATACACGCTAATCTTAAGGCCTCTTTCTTTTTCCCCGCCCTTATCCCTCTCTACCCTCCCATTCTCCCCAGTCCCTTTCCCTTTGGTAACTATTAGTCCATTCTTGGGTTCTGAGTCTGCTGCTGTTTTGTTCCTTCAGTTTTTTCTTTGTTCTTATACTCCACAGATGAGTGAAATCATTTGATATTTGTCTTTCTCCACCTGGCTTATTTCACTGAGCATAATACCCTCTAGCTCCATCCATGTTGTTGCAAATGGTAGGATTTGTTTTCTTCTTACGGCTGAATAATATTCCATTGTGTATATGTACCACATCTTCTTTATCCATTCATCTACTGATGGACACTTAGGTTGCTTCCATTTCTTGGCTATTGTAAATAGTGCTGCCATAAACAGGGGTGCATGCGTCTTTTTCAAACAGGGCTCTTGCATTCTTAGACTAAATTCCTAGGAGTGGAATTCCTGGGTCAAATGGTATTTCTATTTTGAGTTTTTTGAGGAACCTCCATACTGCTTTCCACAATGGTTGAACTAATTTACTTTCCCACCAGCAGTGAGGAGGGTTTCCCTTTCTCCACAGCCTCGCCAACATTTGTTGTTGTTTGTCTTTTGGATGGTGGCGATCCTTACTGGTGTGAGGTGATATCTCATTGTGGTTTTAATTTGCATTTCTCTGATGATTATCAATATGGAATATCTTTTCATGTGCCTGTTGGCCATCTGAATTTCTTCTTTGGAGAACTGTCTGTTCAGCTCCTCTGCCCATTTTTTAATTGGCTTATTTGCTTTTTGTTTGTTGAGGTACGTGAGCTCTTTATATAATTTGGATGTCAACCCTTTATAAGATTCATGTTTTTAAAAGCACATGTAATGCCCTTATCATAGGATCTGATGCCAGGTAACCACTCAGAAATGTTCACCATAATTTTATTTTATTATTAAGAATAATTGCATGAAATGCAAGCACAAAAAAGAGTATGGACCAAAGAGTCAAAATTTATTCACCTTTAGATCCACACATTAGCATATTAAACACTGTTTGAAATGAGTGGGGTTTTTTTTGTTTTTTAATTAGGATTTGGAAAGCTCTTCATAACAGAATTACCTGTTGTGTTAGGATTTTACCCATAGACATTTTTAAAAGTGAGAAGGCCACTTTTAAAAAGGAAAAAAATGTTGGAATATTTATAAATGGTGACTCATTCATTCAATACATATTTACTGTCTGACTACAGTGTGCCAGACTCCCGTTCACTCTGGGGCATATTCAGCACCAACTGTTCAGTGTTCTCTCTCAGGAAAGGGTTTTCCCTCTGAGACCAGAATATCATCCTACAGCACAGGAAGCACTCTAGCTTAGGTCCCTATCTTTCAAGATAATGACTTACATTAAAGCAGAGTTGCAGAAAATCTGGAGGCTTTCTGTCCCCACAAAGGCCTCACCTTTTCCACCAACAATATAGCTGGTTTTATCGGCACTGTGATTTTAAAAGCCATGAAAAAACATAGATTTGTATGAACCTCTGCACCAGAGCCCCCGTGTCCAACTATCCACAAGTAGGTGGCATTCACTTTCGTACAAATGCTGTCCTTTCAATTTTAGAAGGAAAGAAAAGCTGATGTGAATAATTATGGCATGATGCATTATCTAAAATAAGTGCAAGCTATATAAGCCTTTTTCTCCCAGATTGCCCTTTTTAGATTTTTCAAAATGATTTTAACTATTTTGAGATGTTTCATGTAAACATTTGGAAATGAAGTCAAGTTTAACAGTTGTTCCCTACATTATTGTGTCATTCTGTGTATTTTCTCAACCTGTGGTATCTCGGCTTTCGTCATTGACTGCTATTCTTTGATTTGATAATTTGGTAAGAATTTCAGTATTTTCCAAATTTACTGTCACTTATGTGAAAGTAAGTTACCAGCCATTTCTTTTCTTAACAGTTTTTATATTTTCTCTCTCTATTTAGATGCTTCTGTGCTTTTTTAAACACAACTGTTAACATCGATCTTCATGTAGGTGCACTGACACAGCCACCAACTTTTAATCACAATATGAAATTTGATTTGGCTAATGTGCGTGGATTTTTATATATCATTGCTTCAATTCATCAACTATGTTTCATTTGTTTAAAATAATTGTGGTCTATTAACTAGATTCTAAAGGTCTAATGTAAGCATAAATAAGAAATAACTATGTGCCTGAACAGCAGCATGGCACGCTCTGCTCTTATTCCCACTCCTAGCAGGTTAATCCTTCATTTCCATTGCCTCACTTCCTATCCACTCAGAGAAGTACAGTTATCTCAGGTTTTCTCTTCATTCTTCCATTCTCCTTTCAGAACCTTGGTTTTCTAGGTAACTTGCAGTGGACTAGCTGAAGGTATTTATCTGAGACTCCAATTGCATAAATGTGAGAGTCTTTGATAACATCCTTTTTAAAGAAATATATAGTATATTGCAAGAACTAAATGCTGTAAGTGCTAAAGGGCATGAGGAAGGTGGTAGAGTCTTATAATTTCAGGATCTGAGAAGAGTCTTGGGGGATACAGGATTTGGATAAGACTTGGACAAGGTCACTCCCTATCAGAGGACGTTTTATGAGCCACTGCAAAAAG